TCTTTGAATAATTCTATAGAAAGTATAGCTTACTTAGTACACTACAGAATTTTTACTGTACCTGTTGTGGTTTTGATTATAAGGAATATAATGCTGCTCTCTAACTGAAATTTTGTTAGTTTCTACCTGAAGTTCATATAATCCTCACTTTGTGTATTTTGTTGCTATGTTATTTGGGGCACATAAATTCACAATTATTATATATTAAATATGTACTGTATTTATTTTTGTATAACCACCCATTTATTTCCCTTAACATATTTTATCTTGAATTATTTGGTATTATGATTGCCACTTTTGCTTTCCTTATTTATTGTTGTTATATCTACAGAACTTTTAATTTTGGGTTGCATATGTGACGTTTTGTTAGTATATTATTCATAAAAAGCACAATGTTGAAATATAGAAACCCTTTGTTTTATAGAAAACATCTTTGTTTTCTAATGAGTGTTCCACGTGGTATTTTTCTTTTTATTTTAGCTTCATTCTTTTTTCTTCTACAAAACTTTTTAAACTTTTGATTGAATTTGATTCACCAGAATAATTATTTTTATAGCTGATATTTTCCTTTGTTTTAAGCCATCTTGTAAACATTTTAAAGGAATTGGAGGGGAGAAAATCGCCAGTACATACTATATCGTCATTTCAAAATGACATTTCAGCATGACATTGTCTAATGAAGTGTAGGCACCTCCCAAGTTTCCAAACTCTCCCCTACCACAAATAACCGACTGTCCAAGCACCATTATTTACTAATCTTTTCCTACATGGATGGTGTTTTCTTGAATTCTGTAGTTGTTCATTTTCTCATATGAAATGCTGATTCCCATTTCATATGTTTTGATCCCAAGGCCTGTTATTCTGGTACCGTATTTTTAGCTATCTTCTTTAAATTTTAAATATGCCAGTCAAGTTCCCTTTTGTTCCCAAAATACTATACACAAACCTCATTTTATTTCCCCCCAATTCCTCTATAGAACACCACAGTTTTCTATCCTCCTTAAAAGTTTCAGTAACCATAGCATTCTATTAATTTTGTTTCATAAAGAACTTTGAGAAAATAATGTTCCAAAGACACTTTAATGAACACTTTATGAAATATCCTTTCTCTAAAGGTCACTGTTATGCTTGTTCCAATTATAGTATTAACATTATTGCCCACATGGGCTGTTGAAATATCACCTCCATTTCTTGCTAGTACTTTCTCACCTATTCTGATGGAAAATTTGCCCTGAGTAAATGATAAGCACAATTTTAACTCTTCTCCATACAGCGCCAATTTCTCAAAAATGTCACACTTACCTGTAACAACTTAATAAATTGAAATATCAAATTAACTCTTATTAAAATCCAGTTTTATGACTGGTGGTGTGTGTAATGGTGAGAAACAAAAAAGGCAGAGGGCAGAGCACGGGGAGAGGGGTGCAGAGGAGATAGGAAATAACCCAATAACCAGGATGAAGGACCTTAAGGATTAATAAATAAGCGCTAGTTTTTATTAATATTAGAATCTCCAGCGTCGGTGCACCCCCTACTGACTGAAGTCCAAAAAAGTCTGCTTTAAAATGTCATTTAATGCGTGTCATAAAAATAAACCAGAGTTACTTAGGGTCATTATTAATTTTCTTCATAAGAAACGTTGCTGTCCCTTAGCTGTAGAGTAACGCCACAACTCAACAACGTGGTACTCAAAGCCACGCAACATCTGAAAGGAATGAAATCTCTTTCTTTATTATCTGGCAGACATTTATTACGCACCTAATGGGGACTTGGGAGGACATTGTGGGGGCCAAAAGGAAAGTTCTCCTTGGCCGCGTGGCCCTATAGCTAAGGGGTTAGAGCACTGGTCTTAAAAGTTCTCCTTGGCCTTCTGAAGGTTCACTGAAAAATCAACTCGTGAAAGGCAGACGAATTAGAGAAAAGGCACACACATTTATTTACTGCATACACAGGAGCCTTCAGAATGAAGACTCAAAGATATAGGGGAAGTTGTCCGTTTTTAATGCTTAAGCTCAACAAAGTACGGACGGCCCTGTAGAAACGATTGGACAAAAGAGTATGTTCTGATGCTGATAGACTGAGTGGGGAAACCCAGCAAGGCCTGTCTGTCTAGATTCTTCTTGGCCTCTCTGAGCAGCATCCTTCCTCCTGGGTGTGGAGCAGAGCCCTCTCTGGAATGGGAATGGCGGTTTTACGACCTACAGTCAAACAAGGTGGGTCCGATGATTTCCTTACGGCCAGTTTTTACTCAGAAAAGCAAAGGGAAAGTTAGAGTAATATTTTTAGGTTTTATGGCTGGCTTTGGGGAAAAGGAGTTCTGGTTTCTATGGCTAGCCTTGGAGGAGCATGAGACTAATTTAAGAAAATTAACTCTTATTTCATCAAATAAGATTTGTGGTAAATATCTCCACAGTGTATTTTCCTTTTAATGTTGTTTTTGATGTTTCCTGTATTTGTGACTCTATCCTACTTAAGCAGTTGAATATGTATGAATAATTAGATACTTAGCATTTATCTCTTTAGATAATCTAGGACTGATTCAGATAATAGCCTGAGATGACAGAACTTTCTGTCTTTTCCAGATACTTATCTGACTGTCCCAGCACCGTTTATTTACTAATCTATCCTTTCCCCTTGGGTTCGAAACACCAACTTAAAGCAAATTCTAAAGTGTCATACACATTAAGGTTGGTTTTAACCCATTTCTTTCTCCTCATTTTTGCCCAGTATCACACAGTTTTAGCTACTATAGGGGCATAATTTGTTGCAATATTTGGAAGATTAAATTCTCCACTTTGCCTTTTCAAAACTTTCTTGGCTATTCTTACCTATTTATTTTTCCAAATGAGCATTAGAATCACTCTGGCAGGTTCCAAAGTGTCCTATTGGGATTTTGATTGGAATTTCATTAAACTAATTTAGGGAGAATTGACAACATTGAAACACTCAATCTTCCTGCCCAGGAGCACAGTGTGTCTCCTTTCATCCAAATTTCCCGTTATGTTCTTCTGAAAAATGTTGTGATTCTCTTTACTGAGAGTCATATATCTCTTTTTAAGGTTTCTTCATAGATATTTCATATTTTGAGTTATTTTGGATAGAATTTTTCCTTTATTGTTTATCGATGGTCATTGCTGGCATGAAGGAAAGCTATTGATTTTTGTGCTTTTCAATTAGGCTTGAATAAAATTTTAAATTTTTATGTTAACTTTTCAAATCATAACCACTCAACGTATGATTTTAATAGACATACAACCAATGCTATGTGTTGATTAATCTTGTTAAGAAGGTAAACACCTGAATGTGTTTTTGCTGAAGGCGCCAGTTGACTGATGTAAATATCTAAAACTATTTGAGGGTCTCATCTTATTCAGAATTATATTCAGTGCCACTTGAAGAAATGAGAAACCGCTGAAATTATTCTCAAGTCAGGCTTTTTCCGCATTATTACTTGGAATGAACAGACAAGTCAGAAAAGGAAAAAGACTAGAGCTGTAGATTATGGTCTTACTTCACTGCATTCCAAAGATTCTCAACTTACAGGTTCTGCTGCCTCTGTTTCCCCAGCCACTAGGTGTCTGAAGTGTTTGGAAGGAAGGTCCATGTGAATTTAGGATTCTATTATGATGAATCAGCCTGCAAGTACTCATAACCATTTCCATCCTTGTGTAAGGTAACACACAATTCACAAGAGGGGATGTTTTCTGTTCAAGCTGTGCTTCACTTTGCAGTCCCAGCTCTTAAGAAAATGTCTTACTTTCCTCTCTTCCCAGTGGTTACATTACATGCATTTGTCAAATGTTTCTTTGATGAAAAATGGAAGTGGAGGGAGCAGGGTAGATTTCGGTACATTTTGAAATTAAACAAACTTCCAGCACACAAGTAAAGCAGTATGCAAGGGCTGGCTGCTTATTTTCTAATCAATCATTCGGGCACTTTTTCTAATAGGGCCACGCACTGATTTACTAAGGACATATGGCTCAGCAATTTTTTTTCTCGGCCTAAGGCCCAAGCAAACAGCTGTTCTCTCAAATGGAGGCTCTTTGGGCTGTGAGCACATGCCTCTCTCCAGACCTGCTCTGAGCTGCCAGCTGGGGAGCAGCCCCTGCCTCTCTGTGCTCTGGTCTCCCTGGATGTGCCTTTAGGACCTATAAGCTGGTGGGGTCACTGCTCGGACTTGGGCACCTGGTGGTTCTCTCTCTGTGCACTCATGTTCTTTCTGGATTGGGGACCTTCGTGTTATGCCTTGCAAGTTCCAAATCCTAGTAATTGTCCAAGTTTGTAAACTGAATACACTCTTGTTGGCCCCATTGATGGATAAGGCATGGTGTCAGCTGATGCCAGGGCGTGGCTTGCTTCCTCTTGGTTCCTTTACATACTCAGCACAGGCTTACTTCTCCAGAGATGGCAGCCTGCTGTTCTTTTTGTCCAAGTGCTGTTCTCACCAAAACTGAGGAAATCAAAACCCTGCATTCTTGCAGGCCCCCGGATCCCTCCGGTCCCAAGTTTGGTTTGCTTCATAGTCTAGAATGTTAGCAGTTTATTCTTCATAGAAAAAAACCCTTTTGGAAAATTTCCGACATCACATTGGAGCATCTCAATGTGAACAGGCCTTCCTTTCTTTCTGTAGGTGGAGAAGCACACGTAAAGCCAGAAGGCCGGGCGCGGTGGCTCACGCCTGTAATCCTAGCTCTCTGGGAGGCCGAGGCGGGCGGATCGCTCGAGGTCGGGAGTTCGAAACCAGCCTGAGCAAGAGCGAGACCCCGTCTCTACTATAAATAGAAAGAAACTAATTGGCCAACTAATATATATAGAAAAAATTAGCCGGGCATGGTGGCTCATGCATCGCTTGAGTCCAGGAGTTTGAGGTTGCTGTGAGCTCGTCTGACGCCACGGCACTCACTCTAGCCTAGGCAACAAAGCAAGACTCTGTCTCAAAAAAAAAAAAAAAAAAAAAAAGCCAGAAAGGACACACTTCTGTTTTGTTTTGTTTTGTTTAGGAGGAGGGTACGAGATGGAAGCTGAGATCTCTGTCCTGTCCATTCCCCGCAAGACACTCAGGTGTGCAAAGGCTGCACCTTCGCATTGCCAGAGAGGTGGCCATCGATGTCCTGTTTCCATCTTGGATGCCAATGCTCCAGTTTAGTCTTTTGCTCTGAAATGACTGAATCAACTAGTTTGGACATATGGCAACAGGACAGGCCATGGACTCCCAGGTGAGTAGAGAAGAGGCTGCCTGTCTTCCTGCAGGTACCTGCTGTCCAGTACTTATTGACTCCTGGGGCCTTGGAAAAGAACCGCCAAATATTCCTCTTGGGACCATATTCAAAAACCTTCTACCTACGGGCTACTTCTCCCTCTGCTCCACAGCCTCGTGCCATCCTTCTGGGCTGGGGGCCCAGAGTCTTGATGATGAAATGATGTATTTTCCTAAAAGGGCCGGGTCAGTCCTTACAAAATGATTCATAGCAAATTGACTTTCCTTCTACTCTTGTTTTTGATGCAGTTTTTTAAAACATACATAAATGTCACACTTCTGCACAACAGGTCTCTCAGGAAGACTATGATAAAGCAAAATGCTGACTTTACCCAAAATTCTGCAAATAGAATTCAGCAAATATTTATTGCACATCCACTTTAGTTCGGAACATTGTAACGCACTCACCTTCTTAGGGCATGAATAGCAGTAACCCAGCAGGTCACGCTTGGATTTTAAACAACCGTGCTCTGCTGTCTCCGGCCTTGCACTCTGAGCCCCGGAGACAAGGGAAGCACATCACCCAAGCTGTGTGTCATGGTGTCATCATTGCTCCCCGCACCATGATCTAGTGACAAGAGCATAAAGCTAAGAATTGCACAGGGAAGGAACCAACATTTCTCTGCCTCCATTTTCTAGTTATAAAACAGGAATAACAGCCCCCCACCACCACCACTTGCTTTCTTTACAAGATGTCACACTGGCGAATGAGAGAATACATGTGGCCAGCTCTGGGCTGCTTTGGAGAGAGACGAGATGTTTACTAATCCCAGAACACTGCCCAGGCACTCATTATTGAGTGGGTCTGGCCCCAGGAGCTTGAAAGAGGTGCCAGTTTGATCCTTTGAAACTGTAGGCAGCTGAACTGCGTTCAGGAAGGGGACTGTGGCTGTAATTATCGCCCCCCTCCGTGTGCACACTGTTGGCCACTGAAATGTTGGATCCAAAAGGTCACCAAGATAAAGTCAAGCAGGAACAGGCCACACAAAAAGCAGCTTTCTGAATCCGTCCCAGGCCAGTATGCAGCCGCACATGTAGTTCTCTGTCTCAAGGCCCCTGCGGCTCAGGGTATGTGGAAGGAGGGCCCCCTACAAGGCCGAAGTCTGTATCTGGACTGCCCCACTTGCCTCCAGCAAAGACAGAAAGCTAATTTGCCTCCAGCAAAATGGAGGAAAGAGCCAAGCTCTGTCCCTTTCTGTAAACCTAATTATGCTTCTCACAAAGAGAATGAGTCTTGGTGCAGGGACTGTCACCTTCTCCCCCTGGTGACATGAAAGACATAAGGTGGACACACTGTGCTGGCCATGGTCACCAAACAGCAGGCCACTGTCAGGGTGACTTCAAAAAAAAAGGCCTTCGGGGGTTTGGCTGGTGGCCAGTGGACCTCTTTCCACCTTTCCATCTCCTAATGTCATAATGGGGCCCAAACAATATCAATTAGACAAATGTGAAAGAAAGGATTGCAAGAACCGTTCATCTTGGGGCACACGTGCGATGATGACATTTTTATTAACGCAGAAAGGACTTCTGGCCAGGCTTTCTGCCACTCTGCGTAGGAGTGCCTGAGAGTCTTTTCGTGGTAAAAGCTTTTAGCATAGAAGAGAGTAAAGCTAATTTCAATATGGACCTGGTTATGAGAAAACTGCTAATGAGACAAATTGGCTTAGCTTTAAGTAATTACCCTTAATTTCTCAGAATGAGGAATTACTGGAATAGTCAGAGCCCTCTCAGGAAAAGAGATTCATTTCTTATGACAGCGATTTAGGAATAACTTGGTTAAATATTTGGGTAAACAGAAAACAGAGGGGAAAATATCATATATATAGGAAGTTGTAGACAGTTACCTGAAATCTTCAGTTACTAATGGGAACAAAATTAAACTTGACTCTAGTTTTTTGTTAAATTAGAAGTAATATGTCCATCCCTTCAATTGAGTTGTGAAATTCAAACATAGTGCATAGTGCTATTTTCCAGTTTGGTGGGGGAAAACATGGCAAAAACTGGCACTTGATTCATTCTATGTAATAATTTCATAGAGTTATAATTTTAATCTCAGTTATGTACATGTGTATATACCTCATAAATATATATCATAATATATATTATATATAAATATATATCATATACCTCATATAAATATATATCATAATATATATTATATATCACTACATCTATGCATATGTAAAATATGTGTGTGTATACACTTACTACCATCATTTTATATTTTATTCTTCAGGGTAACATCTCAGATCCCCTTTTTGCTTTTCATTATTACTAGGGAGGACCCTCGGCAGCAGAGACAAGCGTGAATCCTAGCCTGAGGCTCAGCGGGGCTCTGAGCTCCTCCTGCTTTCTGGTCTCTCCTTCCTGGCCAGGTAAGTTCCCCAGATGAGAGAGACCAGACTTGAGCTGTGCCAGTCACTTCTCTCTGGCTCATTCCACGACCACACGGACCCTGGCTCTCCACTCGCTAAGGGCCACCTGGGCCACAAAGTGAAAAGGTAAGAGTGCCAACGGCTTTGCCAGCGGGGCTTCCTCAAAACAGCTCAAACTTCCCCTTCCTCCTCGCACTTCTGCCCTTGCTGTTTCCTACCCTAAGCACTTATTGCAATTTTCTTCTACCTGATCTTTCTACATAATCCTAGCTGTGGAGTTTAATAAAGCCCCCATTTTTGGTGTGTAATTGCTACCCAATCAGCCCACTTAAAGTGAATCCACGTAAAACCAACACCAAAATTTCATAGTAAATAATGAAAAGCAAAGAGTGTAGCTGAGATATTACCCTGAAAAATAAAATATAAAATGATAACAGTAAGTTTATATATACACATATATTACATATGCATAGATGTAGTGATGTATATACATATATCATGACATATATGTATATGAGATTATACATATGCACATGGCTCAGATTAAAATTGTAACTCGATGAAATTATTACATAGAATGACTCAAGTGCCAGCTTTTGCCATGGTTTTCCCCTTCAAACTGGAAAATAGCACTAAACAATATGTTTGAATTTCACAACTCAATTGAAGCGATGGACATCTTTGCAGAATTATTCAGGGACTTGACTAGTTTTCCCAAGGGTTTCTCTCAGATTTTAGCTATTTAAATCTTGCCTTTTGACATGCTTTTTCTCTGTGAACCATCCCTTGTCAATTTTCACAACTCAAGCATTAACTGTCTTAGTTCTACACAAAGTCTTCTATTGGTGGTTTAGTGTATAACAGAGGAATTTTTTTCTTTTTTCTTTTTGAGACAGAGTCTCACTCTGTTGCCCCGGCTAGAGTGCAATGGCGTCAGCCTAGCTCACAGCAACCTCAGACTCTTGGGCTCAAGCGAGCCTTCTGCCTCAGCCTCCCGAGTAGCTGGGACTACAGGCATGCGCCACCATGCCCGGCTAATTTTTTCTATATATTTTTAGTTGGCCAATTAATTTCTTTCCATTTTTAGTAGAAACAGGGTCTCGCTTTTGCTCAGGCTCGTCTCAAATTCCTGAGCTAAAGCAATCCTCCCGCCTTGGCCTCCGAGAGTGCTAGGATTACAGATGTGAGCCACCACACCCGGCCAATTTCTTTCTATTTTTTAGTAGAGATGGGATCTCACTCTTGCTCAGGCTGGTTTCGAACTCCTGACCTTGAGCAATCCACTTGCCTCGGCCTCCCAGAGGGTTAGGATTATAGACATGAGCCACTGCTCCTGGCCAAGAGGAATTCTTGAACATCATTCTCATCAGCTTCATGAAATGCTCCATCTTTTCCAAGAGTTTTGGTTTCATTTTCCTACCATTTCCATTTGTGGTACATTTTTAGCCTTGGACAACCAGTGAGAGACTAACCAGCAAACGTATAGGCTCAAGAGATGAGGTTCTATGCTGCTGTTTTCAAATTTACAGCAAGGACTCAAAAAACGAAGAGTTAGATAATGAAGACCCCCATTCCTCTAACACAGAAGCTATCATTTTGTACTTTAAATTGCAGCATGGCCAGGCACACACAGTACTTATACTATGATGTGTCAAAATGAGGGCTATAAAAAGGCCACCAGGAGCACAGAAACAGAAGGCAGGCACTGTATTGAGCGAGAGGAGAGGCATATCAGTGAGGCACTCAGGGAGTGGAGTATTTGCACAGGATCTCAAGATGTGAGTAAGGCTCTTAAGGACCAATATGAGGAAAGTGCATCTGGGCCAAGAGAACACCATGTACAAAGTTCAAGGGTGTGGAAGCGTGTTAGCCTGTGGAGGGACAGCAAGTGACTGATGTAGCTATAGGGTTCACCTGAGGTGGGGGGTGGAAGGACAAAAGATGGAAGCCAGACAGATAGGCTGGGACAGATTATAGGAGCCTGTTGGTTGTAAACCAGGGTTTCTACTCTGTGACATGTGGGTCCAGATCCTTCTTTGTTGTGGGAGACTGTCACTGTCCTGGGCATTGTAGGACATTCAGCGGTATCCTTAGCCTCTACCCATTAGATGCCAGTAGTACCAGTGTAAACTCCCTGGGCATAGGGATGGCCCAGAACAGATGATCAGTGAATAAATGAAGGGAGCACAGGCAAAACAACTGGAAAAGAGAAGGGACACATTCTCAGAGTCAAGAAGAAACACAGGAAGGATTAATGAGAATACAAGTCATTTTGAAGAGGAGGATGGGGAAGTTGAAGGAGGTCTGTGAATTCAGAGAAAAAGTTCATTGCTGAGAGGTTCAGAGGAAAAGGTGATTTGGGGTTTGAAGAGAATGGGTAAGGGTCGAAAGAGCAGCTTGGAGGTTTGGAAATAGGCCTGTAAGTGGGACACGCCCACCCCCAGAGTCTAGTAAAAAGGTGTTAAGGGAGCCCACAATGCTTACTGCTTTAACAGTCATGTATTCAGCATTTATTGGGGAAAAAATACTGGTTTTCTATTGACAGTAGTTATTTAAAGTTTCATTTAACGTGTATTTGTAAAGAAGATGATTTTGACAAAAACACAGTTTCTCCTACTAAACTCTGACAACACAGATGTATTTCTGATACCAGGTAGGGCGTGGGGGAAGTTTCCTCACAAGCCAAGCAATTCTCCAGCAGACATTTCAATTCTGACACTATCTACCTGGAAATAGTATCAAAAGGGGCTCATTTTGAATAACCAAAAGTATCCTCATCCCTCAGGAAATCCCAAGGGTTTTAGGAGCTCTGGGACAAGAACCAAGGACAAAGACCAACTGCATTTCTTATTAGACCACACAGATATTAAAAAATCAAGTAATAATGGAACAGGTGGAATGGAGATAGTGCCACCAATGTGAAGACGATATATGAGGGAAGTTTGGAAATAAAAGGAACTGAGGCCCAGGGTGGGTCAGAGCACATGGCTCCACCTGCTGCTCCTGCCAAGCCTGTCTCTGGGACCCGCTAAGATGGGACCCATGAGCATGGGTGCTGCCATCTGCCTCTTCACATACTAACTCCAGATCCCAGCCCCTCAGCCAAATCCTCCTGTGTGGTCCAGGAAGATGCCCTGATCACCATCTTCCATAAGAACTGCACTTCACATTCCTGGGTCTCTTGACTATGAACACACAACTCTCCCTTTAAATGTCCTTTAGTTATTTCTTGACTTGTGTTTGGGCTCCCCAGCCAGTCATGAAGTTCCTCTTAGGTAAGAATCACATTTGCATTCTTCCTCCCAGGTGCAGGGCTGAGCAGGATCCCAACAGTAGATCCCAACCCCAAGGGTGTGGGGATGTGTCATCCCTAGGGCAAGAGCCATAAGAGTGAGTCACCTAATTTCATATCGTTAATGACCAGCTAATGACTTCTGTTTCTGTGAAAGGCACTGTCAGTAGTACAATACTTAGGTATCTAAAAAAACATTAATTTGCTTCCTCTGTATGTCTCTAGTGAGTCTCACATAGGAGATAATATGTGTAAAGTGCTTGCTCTCTAAATCCAAGTAGGAGGTGTTATTATTTCCACCATGGAGAGATACACAGAAAAGGCACTTGGGTCCAGATCTCCATCTTCCCATTCCGCCATCCCCATCACTGCAGATGTAGTAAGGAAAATCAATAGACTAACACAGTGAGGCAGTGGGGATGGGAACAGGTGTCATTTAATCTTCATGACTTTAAAAAACAGGAATTTTGAACTAGGGGGCAGAATAATATTCTCAAAAATAAGTAGAAGAGTAATGCTGGATGGTGAACAGCCTCACAGAGCTCCAGGAATAGCAGGGACAGGCTGTTCTGTGCTGATGGTTCCTGAACCAATGTTTTTAACACCCAGCGACTTTAACTTCGCATCTTAATCAAGGCTGAGGCACTCTCAGCAGCCCTTAAAGCATTACCTCCCCAAGAAATCACTCTAAGTACTGCAGGTTTGAAAAAAAACACAACCACCTAGGTACCACAAATTGCACTTAGCAACTACCCAACCATATTATTTCCATCTTGTCTAATGTAATTTTTCTGGTTTTTTACATAAAATACTGGCTATTTTAAAAAATTATCCTCCTTCCTAAATTAACTAGGCTTTTATTTGTTTTTAACAATCAAACAACCTAAAAGCAAGAATGAGGCAGTACTTCTAACTAGTTTCTGAGTAACTAGATGTAAAGATTTTCCTCCATAAGCATCACTCAAAATGGCAAAATATATTCAATAGTTCTGCCCGGAGGTACAAGGTTGTGGAGAGTGCAGGGGACCAGGATGGGAAGCCTTACCCTGAAACCTAAGTCAGGCAGGTTGTCCTCTGGACAAGACTCATCTCTGAAGGACACCGCATACCATCCCCTCCTGCCCTCACTTCTTAGTCATTCACTCATTTATGCAACAGATAGGTATGTGGGTTCAGAGGGATCCTTGAACAAGTATGGAAAGAAGAGCCTCGCCCTCAGAGGCTCTCAGTCCGGAGGAAGTTAAATGGATGAACCAGATGATTTCATTCATTCCACAAATAACTATCAATTATTTCATTTGCCAGTAAGGAATCATTGAGCCGTTACTATATAGGAGACATTGAGAACCATCATTGAGCAGGACAGGCAAGATCCTTGCCTTCAATGGCTCAATTCCAGTGGAAGTGATAATGAATAAACAAACAAGATGATCTCAGAGTGACAAGTGCTAAGAAAGATGCAACAGGATGTTGTGACGGAGCAACCAAGGATGGAGGACCTGCTGAGGAAGGGTGGCATTTGAGTTGAGATCCGTCCTCTGAACTCAAGGCGGCCTCGCACCCAGGCCCCTAGCCATTAGCCACGCTATCCTGTCCGCCGTTGGCTTCTCCCAGGCTCATCCCCGGGGGTCACCAGCTCTTGGAGGGCGGGTGGCAGGAGCACAGAGCCCACTGCCCAGTTGCGTGGCTGCCTGTGGACCTGCCCCAGCCTGGGACGGGCCGGGGGCACGCGGAACTTTGTAAGGGGACAACAGGCAAGTTTGCTCCAGTGAACACCACACGGCCTGGCCCGTGGTAGGGGGCTGACGGGGCCCGTCCACAGGCCTCGCAACTCCAGGACGAAGAGACTGGCCGGGCCGGGGTCCCGGGGTGCGCCCAGCCCCCACCTGCCCCGCCACCCAGGGGTCTGGGCGCCCG